TAAAATTTGGATAGGGGTATTGGAGTTGTGTGCTCCCTGTCAGAWCTGGTGTTATTCTTTGTTTGGTTTGTACCTTTGCCTACCTGTGTTCCCCGTGTTATCCCTTTTTCAGCCTGCCATGTCCAGTTACACACGTTCCCTGTTTCATTAGTCGCAGCTGCAGCGTATCTTCTCATCAGCCACGAATCCTGATAGTTCCTCATTTCTCCTCTGTCATCAGTCTGGCATTGTGGAGCTTTATGCCATGTCTGGTCTCCTCCGTGTTCCCCTCCAGTTCTTTTTGTAAGTGTTTCCACATCAGCCTCTTTGTTTTGTTTGTGAAATAACCTAGTTTCATTTTACACACGCTCCTTGTGAATTTAAAAAAACAAAAACAATAATTGTCCAAACTCCACAAACACCCACCTTTCCTGTACGCATCTAATGTCTTGCAGCAGTGCTCTGAACTCAGATTTGTAATAAAACTTTTGGGTTTAGCTGTGAAGCTGGTGAGAGCGTTGGACTGTGTGTACCTGGCAGTACACTACATATGTGTACTTCATTATGTACTAAAAAATGCTGAAAATGAGTAAATTGGTAGTTCTACTTAATTATGTGTTTCTGGAGGGTATATAATTACTGAAGTATTACAATAGTGTGAACTTTATCACTTTAGGAAAGATTATGTTTTGATTGATGAACTCCTATGTGCATACAAGAATCTTAGGTATAAATGCACTGATGCAGTCCCCTTTTTTAAAAAAGTCATCGAATAATAAAGTAAAACTGTCATGAATTGAATCATATTTGAATGAGTTTAAATTGCAACTAGATTATAATCTGAATCTGACTGTTATACATAATTAATAAATTATATTGTTAATGAACTGGAACTGTTTTATTTTAGTTTTCTGAGATAACCTTTGTTATTAACTGAAACTGTATATATAAGTAGAAGTGARTCACTGAAGTTCAGTTCAAGAGTTTTTGTAGGCAGCTACTAATTTTTAAAAGTATAAATTAATTAACTTGCAAACCCTGATCAAAGGATATGGTAACAAAGTAAAGTAACGCTAAGTAAAAAATGATTCTTACTTTTAGGAAACAATGTAAACTGAACATTCTTATAGATCTCCTGTGAGTTCTGTGGGCCCTCTAAATATAATAAAACATCATCTGCATAATGACTTATTTTAGGAGTCCCAAATTCCTTTTTGTTTCTACCATTTTTACTGCCGTAAGTGGACCAATAAGGGTGGCAAATGAGAAAGAAGAGACAGAGTGATGGGTGGAAATCCTGATAGGATTTTATTTCTTCCCCCCC